CCCATGGTTGTATATATTCCTTGAAGGGTAATTAGGATAAACGTGCACGTATTTTCTACCTCACCTGGCCACAGTCTTGACAGGCTTCTCCATATTTCTTCCAATAATCGTTTTTACAAAAGAGAAGACCATCTTTTTCAAAATACCAGCTGTTGAGGGTAATATCACACGCACTACACCTGAAACACATGGAAATATTTATGTCATTAACCCTTAAACGGTCCAAACGTATATATACGCTTTTTCAACATCTGAAAGTATGTAAAAAATGTAGACCTTTTTTTTGTTTTACATTTGAAAATGTGTAAAAAAATTTTTATGTACATTTTTTTTTTTTTGTTATATTTGAAAATACAGTGGTCCCTCGCTTTTTGTAGTTCTCGGCAATCGTAAATTTTGCCAATCATAGGGGTATTTTCGTATAAACATGGACTCGCTTTTCATAGGTTGACTCACGAATAGTAGTTCGTCCAGGATGCTTACGCACGGTGTGAGCCGGGGCGGCCTCCCTACCCAGCCAGTCTGGCATTGTTTACCTGTGAATGAAGGTCCCCTCAAGTGCTCCTACGAAATATTTCATAATATTCCACTCATTTTAGTGCTTGCAAGTACTAAATAAGCTACCATGGCTCCAAAGAAAGCTCCTAGTGCCAAGCATGTGGTAAAGAAGGTGAGAAATATGTACAGTGACAAAGTCTTGTACAATTTTAGGGAAGTGTTAAAGAGACGCCAGAAACAGAGTTCTCTCCACAGTTACTTTGCGAGACAGGACTAGAGTGACTCTCAAGGTGGTCCTAGTGGCATTAAGAAACAGAGAAGAGAAGCAACCCCAGAGAAGCAATTTGGGACCTGAGGTGTTGCTGGAAGGGGATTCCCCTTCCAAACTATAAACAATCCACTCTCTCTCCTCCTCCAGTCTCCCATACACTAAGAAGAATCTCCAATAAAGGTAAGTGTTATGCTGTTAATGTTTCATTCATCATTTCCCATTGTATTGTTTATGTACTACATGTATATTTCATGTAAAAAAATCTTTTGTTTTAATACTTCTGAGTGTCAGAAACGGATTAATTGTATTTACATTATTTCTTATGGGGAAAATTGATTCGCAAATCGTAAATTTCGTTTATAGTAGCTCCTCCAGGAACGGATTAATTACGAAAAACGAGGGACCACTGTATGTAAAAATAAGTAGATCTACTTTTGTAGCATTACGAATTTGAACGTCGATCTGTTTGGACCGTTTACGAGTTAAATATTATAGGGACATCCAGCACACACAACCCATTATTATTATCATTTTTATTTTTAGAATTACTATTATAGGTATTGTTATTTTTTATTAATTTTTATTATATTTTTTATTATAATGAAAATTAAATATAAATAATAATAATAATAAAGTAGGAACTCACCACACTTGCACTAAACAGGATACTAAAAATGTCTCTGAAAAAGCAAAGCTGTTAATACGACACTTCGCTTCGGAGTGCTTTGCCAATATGGCACTTTTCAATTATACAGTGGACTCCCGGTTTACGATATTATTTCATGCCAGAAGTATGTTCAGGTGCCATTACTGAACGAATTTGTTCCCATAAGGAATATTGTGAATTAGATTAGTCCATTTCAGACCCCCAAACATATACGTACAAACGCACTTACATAAATACACTTACATAATTGGTCGCATTGGGAGCTGATCGTAAAGCAGGGGTCCACTGTATTTATTATTTTTAGCGCCAGCCTTCGTCTTAAAATGGTTTCTGGCAATTTTCAAAAAAACATTTATTATTTTTACCTTTGCATCATTTGTTGTAGGCCTAGTGCAATTGTGCACTTAATAATTGACAGATCAACATATTATTTAGGCTTTTATATAGACTGGCAAGTGGAAAAAAGGACTGATTCATTCTAGGGCGATATTCACTTTGCAGCAGAGATATGGAACCTAACTCTCTGTATTTGCTAGGTATTCCTGTATAGTTTTGTGGGAGGCTGTGTCTGGAAGATGCATTAAGTCCTTGAAAACGTTGAGAATCTTCCTTATTGTGTACATCATTATTGTGTATAATAATACAGTGGACCCCCGGTTAACGATATTTTTTCACTCCAGAAGTATGTTCAGGTGCCAGTACTGACCGAATTTGTTCCCATAAGAAATATTGTGAAGTAGATTAGTCCATTTCAGACCCCCAAACATACACATACAAACGCACTTACATAAATACACTTACATAATTGGTCACATTCAGAGGTAATCGTTATGCGGGGGTCCACTGTATTATTATTATTATGCAGTGGAACCTCAAAAATCGAACTGTTCCCAACTCAACCAATTATGTAAGTGTATTTTTGTAACTGCTTTTATAAGTGTATTTTTGAGGGTCTTAAATGGTCTAATCTAATTTACATTATTCCTGATGGGAATAAATTCGTTCGGTAGTGGCACTCAAACAGCCTTCTGGACCGAAGAAAGTTCGATATTTGAGGTTCCACTGTACACTATACAGGTCCCTAATGTGTTTGTAAGATGAAGACTTCTTGTATGATGAATATTATACGCAATTCAGGTCCCTAAATGCCTAAGTTGAAAACTTCCTATATACGGTATCTTTGGTTCCTGGCAAATACTGCGAGATTCCAGGCCCTAGACTTGGTCAGGCACTACCCAACCACCGATGCCAATAAACCAGCATGCCAAGGACCAACTGAAAGACATGTTTGGGAATACAGATGAAATAAGGATAGCCGTATGGGATGAGGTGATGATTTTTCCAACTCTAATTCTTCAAAACGTACTTAACTGACTTGCCATCTATAACATTTGCTCCGTATAGAGATAATTAAATGGAATGAAGGTGGTCTGGTGGCTAACGCTCTCGCTTCACACGGCGAGGGCCTGGGTCGATTCCCAGCCAGAGTAGAAAACATTGGACATGTTTCTTTCCACCTGTTGTCTATGTTCCCCATCAGTAAAATGGGTACCTGGGTGTTAGTGGACTGGTGTGGGTCGCATCCTGGGTGTTAGTGGACTGGTGTGGGTCGCATCCTGGGTGTTAGTCGACTGGTGTGGGTCGCATCCCGGGACACTGACCTAATTTGCCCGAAATGCAAGAGCAATAACAAGGGAAGTTTCTATATAGTAGTATGTCATTGTTGTCAGCTAGGACTGTATACCTTGTACATGTATTGTAGTAAATAAAGATATTATTATTATATTATTAATTATTATTATTATATTAAAACTAAGCACAAACTGCATGTACATAAATGGTACATAATACCAAAAAGGTGCAGAATTACACACATGTACAACATATGGGTAAACTGTTCACCAGCTCCAAGGCTGAGGGACGGATTACCTCATCTTTTGTATATAATTCTTCACATTATGTCCTTGTATTATACTGATAAAGCCACTGGCTGGCAAAATGTCTACAAATAAAGATGCCCAGATGTTGCACAAATTGTACAGATCATAGCCCAATAAGGTACTACACACACAAATCCTACCTAAAACAATCAGTATGCCAGTCTTGGCCAAGAGCCGAGAAGAATTCATCCTCGTCAATAACGTTCATGCATCCCGCGCACACAGACGTCTCCTCTTGACTGTCATCTGCAACATATGTGTAGCATTAAGTTTATTAAAGACAGTTATTATTATTATTATTATTATTATTATTATTATTATTATTATTATTATTACCTGTTGCAACCCCTGAATGGGTTACAATGATTATGTATATATATAATGTATTATCTTTTCATATAATTTTATATTGCTTATATTTGCGATAATAGCTAAATCGTAAATGTATGACTTTATATTATTATTTGACTGTTATATTGTTATTTAGCTTATGTTGTTAGGATGTATATAAAATGTGTCAGTTTGGCTTGTTTTTCAAACTACTGTAATTATCGCTTGCGCTCGTTATACTGCC